GTTCAAGGCTCATTTCTCTCGCAGGTCCTGCAGTTTCCTTTCCCATTTTCCAGGAATTGGAACTGAAGACTGAGTTTTTCAGTTCCAACCCCAACTTCTCAACCTACAGACAGACAGTGGCTGGGCTGGACAAGATCTTCCACATGCCAATGTTGTGAGTACCTCTATTCAGCTCTCCCATCAATGTGTGTGTGTATGTTGCACGAACCTAGGAGCATCGTTCTGAAGGACCTGGTTGCCATTGACAGCCAGGCCAAGGACCATGTAAACCCAGCACAGGGGCTCCTGAACATGAACAAGTACCGCAATTTGTGGCGTGTGTTTTGCGGCATTCGCAGCAGCCAGATCACTCCGCCTCTGCTTACCCCCAACCTGGACCGAATGCGGGTGCTTAGGGTGAGTGTTTGGGGAAGCCCAGAGCAGTTCTCAGGTCTGTTCTCCTCCTGCAGGCAGCCATTGGTCAGAGCAATTTGACCGAGGAGGCACTGGAGGAACTGTCGGAGGCCAGGGAGCCACGGCAACGTGCAGGTGTGGGCATGTCTCGTGCCACCAACCTACCTAAGTTTGCTACTTGGGCCGGAGGTGAACAGCCTCAGCTGGACAGCGTGACCATCAGCAAGCACGTGAAGCAGATGGTGGATGTGAGTTTGTTGGTAATGGTGGAGTGTGTGTGGAGACTTGTCCCTGTCTACAGGCGGTATTCAAGGTTTACGATACAGACCAAAGTGGCACTATCAGCTACGGAGAGTTTGAGTCAATCTCTTCCAACTTTCCCTTCATTGAGTGTTTCTCAGTGTTGGACCAAGACAAGTATGTGATGGTACACAGTGGGGGCAGTGACATGTGTTCCCCCCCTTCAGTGACGGAACAATCAGCTACGATGAAATGCTGCAGTACTTCCTCTCTGCCAACACACTGCTTAAAGAACGCTTCACTCATCGATTTGAAGAGCACACTTTCCTAGGGGCCGCAGTCTGTGAGCACTGCAAAGGCATGGTGAGCCATTGGTTGTGCAGCAGCGCTCTACACTCATCACATGGTTGTAGTTGAAGGGTATTGTGCGACAAGGAGTGCGTTGTAGAGATTGTGGCATTTCTTGCCACAAACACTGCAAGGATCATGTTGTGGTGGACTGTAACCGGAGAAAGGCACGTAAATGTGAGTGTGTCTGAAGCCATTGGTTGTCTTTGAGAAGAGACTTCTCTTCCTCTTTCTTTCAGCCAAAAAGAGAGACTCGCTGCTAGAGACTGGTGTGGAGTCAGAGCTGTATGGTCATGGAGATTCTCTCTTGAAAGAGCGCCTACAGCGGGCCGAGGAGGTGAGCAAAGAAATCTTCCCTCGCAATTTGTTGACCTTCTCCTTCTTTCTAGGCACGTGACGCTTATGCACTCGAAAATGCCGAGCTTCAGGCCCAGTTGGCAGAAGCAAATGCAAAGATTCAAGAATTGCAGGCGCACATCTCTATGATACGGCAGCACACAATAGGCTTCATTCTTGAGCAGATGAGCACTGCAGGACCAACTACAAGCGACGTCTGATTTATTTCATTTCTCTTCAGTAATCATAATTATTATAGAGCTGTACTGTATTGTCATGACTGTTTTCACACTATAAACCTTAGGAACGCGTACTGAGCATGCGGTCAAGTTTCGTAATCTTACGTACGTACGTTGGGGGATAAGAGAAACTGAAAAATGTTAAAAGTTATGAGACAAACCACAAGAGTGGGCAAAGAGACAAACCAAGTACATATCTTTTATACGTTCACTATGGTTGTAGTATGGAATGGTAATGTCTTCTATCTTACTGCACCTATCCCTATCTCACCCAAATTTCGCTGTTCTCCCTATACATGGGTAGGTGTCAACGATTTCACATTTTTTGTAGGCACATGAGCAGAAGGAGAGGACGACCCCAACTATCGTTAATGCTTTGACTAAAGTTTGTAGTGGAATGGTAATGTCTTCATCTCACTGACACCTATCCCTATCTCACCAAATTTCGCCTGTCTCCCTATACAAGGGTGGGCTCAACGATTTCACATTTTTTGTAGGACATGAGCAGAAGGAGAGACGACCCCAACTATCGTTAATGCTTTGACTAAAGTTGGAGTGTGGAATGGTAATGTCTTCTATACTCGCTGCACCATCCCTATCTCACCCAACATTCGCGTGTTCTCCCTATACAAGGGTGTCAACGATTTCCACATTTTGGTAGGCAATGAGCAGAGGCGAAGGACGGACCAAAAACTATCATTAAGGCTTTGATAAAGGACGGGCGTTGTTGGAATGATAATGTCTTCTATCTCGGCACTATCCCTATCTCCCCCAAATTTCGGCTGTTTCGGTTTTCGCTGTTCTCGGCTCGGTGGGGGTTAAAATAATTGATAATGTGGTAATTGGGGTGGAAAACTTGCGAGAACAGTAAGACAACAAGGACACAAGAAATGAGCGAACAGAGCAACACCAAGACAAGCAGGAGGGGGACACCGATGTGAGATATAAGCGGACGCGGACACACGAATGAAAATTTCATTATGCAAACCAAAGTCACAATCAGAGTTTGTTACAAAAACGGTAACAGAAACCTTCCGCGCAGGAGGGACACCCAATGGGGTATTGCACCTACCAATGCGCGGCCACGCCCTATTACCCAAAGTGAAAAAAGACAGGATGGTTAAAAAAAGGAAAAAGGCTAGCTTAACCACTAACATGATATACCCCAATTACAAAATAAGGAGTTTGGAACAAAAAGTACCAAAGTCCTTCTTAAAAAAAGGAAAAACATTTCTACCAACGATTCTACTTACACCAAAATTAGAGGATAAAAAGTAACACATTCAAGCTACCCAAATGGTACAAGCATTATTTTGAACACAAATTACCAAAATTCGCACCCAATTAACTCTTCCCATTACCCAAATTATCTACCCCAATGTACACAATTAACAATTATGTTAAACCCAATTTACAACATTCACACTTACCCAAAAAATCCAAACATTATATGAACCCAATTACAAGATTCGCACTATTTAAAACACCCATGCCCAAGTAAATTATCTACCCAATTCAACAATACTTATTTTTTACCCCGACCCAGATTACCACATTTCCTCTGACACCACATTATATTACCCAAATTCACAAGCATTTTTAAGACAATTACACCCATTCCCTTACACCAAAACATATACCCAATCACAATCATTATTTTAAACCACGATTACACACATTCATCTTTCCCCAATTGACAAAAAAAAAAACCCCCCCCAAATAGTCTAAACAAAAGGTACCCCCAATTACCCCAAGTACCACATTCCGAGGACACCAGTACAATAGCCCACTGACGCCAAAATGATTAGAACAAACAAGTAAACAATCATTTTACTCCAATAACACACTTCCACCCTTACCCCAACATTATCGCCACCAATTCACAATCATTATTTTTACCACAAATAATACCACATTCCTTTACCCAAGCAAAACAGTATCGACCCATTACCACATTCCTTTACCCAAATATATAACCCAATTCAACAATCATTATATATACCAATTACCACATTCCTCCTTATCCAATTACAAGACTTATTTACCAATTACCTCATTACCCATACCCAACACTTATCTACCCCCAAATAACCACAATGATTAATTACTTTTAAACCAATGAACACATTAAATTAAACCAAATCCAACATTATCATACCACCAATACCCATATTACAAGTATTTTAACCACACAATACCAAATTCCACCTTAAGCAA